TTATGGCGAACTGTCATCAGAATTGATCACCTCAAGTGGTGTTCGTCAGGGCTGTCCACTCTCCCCATTCTTGTTCAACTTTGTCATTGACGTACTTTTAGAGATAACACTCTCCTCATCTAAATATACAGGGGTTGAACTCCTACCAGGAGGTTCACTTGTTGACTTAGAATATGCAGATGACATAGTTTTATTTGGTGAAGACGCTGACAAAATGCAGTCTTCTGACCACTCTAAGCAACAATGCAAGCATGTTCGGGATGCGATTCTCTCCCTCGAAATGCAAAATCTTGCTTCAGGATTGGGTTACATCTTTGACACCCGAACTAGTGATAGGGAGTGAAGTAGTTGAGTGTGTCGACCGCTTCACTTATCTTGGAAGTCTCATCAGCCCTTGTGGTTTGGTGTGTGACGAAATCTCAGCACGGATACAGAAGGCTCGACTAGCTTTTGCCAACTTGCGTCATTTATGGCGTAGGCGAGATATCCGTCTATTAACCAAAGGACGTGTTTACTGCGCAGCAGTTCGTTCCGTCCTACTTTATGGCAGTGAAACATGGCCGGTAAGAGTAGAGGATATCCGTAGGTTACTAGTATTTGATCATAGGTGTCTTCGAAACATTGCTCATATATCATGGGACCATCGAGTAAGTAACACAGTTGTTAGGAAACGGGTACTAGGTAAGGATGGCAAATCAATTGATGAAGTAGTGAAACTTCATCAGTTGAGATGGCTGGGACACGTGTTACGTATGCCCAACGACCGACTGCCTCGACGTGCTATGTTCAGTGGTATAGGAGTAGGTTGGAAGAAAGCTAGGGGCGGCCAAACCAAAACATGGCACAAGTCCATGAAGTCACTGACAAGTGAGCTGAGTCATGTTGGTAGGTGTAGACTACCTGGTTGGGGACCGCGAGATGACAGCAACCGATGGTTAGAGACCCTGAATGACATGGCTCAAAATCGTTTGCAATGGCGCAGGTGCATCCACTCTCTGTGTTCTCCCAAATTCTAATCTTCTGAATTCTTCATGTCCCTTTTTTCCTCTTTCCAAATTTCTTTCACTGGATTATACTCTTTAAATAACATCTCCAAACCCTAATCTTCCTGATTACTGCTTATACTCTTATTACCTCTACCACTACGGGATTTGAATCGACAAATGCATCTCTGTGCTAATGTGGTGTGGCAACTCGAACTGATGTACGTACGTACGAAGTTCTACGTTGTTACTGACTGACTGACTGACCAGCATAACAGCGATGCTGCCTTCCCACAAAAAGGGGCTAGAAAAGGTCGACCCTAAAAATACACACCTCACCTTATCCCACGGATATCCGTCTCCGGTGGTAAGGTCCCAACAATTACTCACAAAAAGGTTGTGTGTGACCGACCTCAAGTAGTTGTCCCTTGGGTATTGCGGTCACGCTCTCAAATCATTAAGATCACGTCTAACCCAATTTCCTTTTCAAGAACCTCCAGGAGAACCATCCCATGGTGTGGGTGGTCGGGAAGTGATAACTGCCTTCATACCTCTAACAGCGCTCAAGATCACTGTATTCATAATCAACCTCCATCTTCAATCCCTTTTATTTTTCCTACGTCGAATTTCTACACCAAACTTCATCCTCAAGTGTCACCATAGCCAACGATCCTAGTGCGCAAAACACTCCCAGGTCTACTGAAACCTCGCTCCAAGCTACACATTAGAGCCTTCAACGAACGCACCCTGTTTTAAGTCGGCCAACAGGCTGTCCATCACCATTTTTTTAACTTCATCATAGACATCCTGATGGAAATAACATTCCCCTCGACTGAATTCTCGGGCATTCATCTCCTTCCAGAAGGTCCACTTATCGACTTAGAATATACAGATCACATTGTCCTGTTTGGTGAAGACACTGATAAAATGCAGTCTTCTGGTAGCATTGAGCAACAATATCAGAATGTTTGGAATACGCTTCTCCCCCTCTGAATTCAAGTTATTGCTCCAACACTGGCCTGCGTCAACAATAGAACTAACGATAAAGAGTGAAGTAGTCGAACGCATCCACAACTTCACTTATCTTCGAAGTATCATCAGCTCTAATCGGTCGCTGTCTCACGAAATCTCAGCACGCATTCATAAAGCTCGTTTGGCCTTTACCAACTTACGTCACCTATGACGAAGGAGAGATATCCGTCTATCAATTAAGGGACGAGTATACTGCGCGGCAGTTCGTTCTGTTCTACTTTACGGATGCGAAACGTGGTCATTGAGGGTAGAAGATACTCGTAAGCTACTAGTATTTGACCACAGATGCCTTAGAAATATTGCTGGCGTCTGCTGAGATCATCGGGTATGTAATAGTGAGATTAGACACAGGGCATTAGAGAATGATGGTAAATAAGTTGATGAGGTTGTGAATCTTCATCGACTAAGATGGTTGGGCCACGTGTTACGTATGCCTGAACACCGATTACCACGACGCGCAATGCTGACTAGTTTTGGGAATGGTTGTAAGAAAGTTAGGGGCGGCCAAACCAAAACGTGGCATCAGTGCTTGAAGTCACAAACTTCAAGTCCGAGTCATGTTGGTAGATGCAGACTACTTGGTTGGGGTCCACGTGATTATTGTAACCAATGGTTGGAGACTCTTGGTGACATGGCTCGGAATCGATCACAATGGTGTAGGTGTACACACTCTGTCTTCCCTTAAACCATGAGATTGAAATTGCTTTATATCTTTCTTTCTACGAACTAATTCTTTCTTCCTGTATTCAATCCGTATACGCAATCTTTCTTTTATATATTACCACCATTAGATTAACCACTTCTATGAATTCGGTGTTCATCTTGTTGTGCTAATGAGGTGTATCAACTTGGACCGATGCATGTATGTGCCTGGTTCTACGTTGCAGCTGACTGACATACATAAGGGTGAGTAGTCGGACAACACACTAAAGGATTATGGATTATATATTTATTTGGCATTGGAATCAATTAGTGTCAAATAATCCGATAAACATAAGGAGTGGAAAACCATCTTCATCAATAGCGAATCGATTTGAGTTTGCCACTGGGAGAGCGCTACGAAGTACTATACAGCCCGTTTGCAAAAATATTTTACGCACACAAGAGAAACAAATGATTTGATGGCCTGGAAGACATAGTTTTAAACTATCTATGAACGTTAAAGTATACCGAGTTGGTGAACCAAAAACTTCGTTACGCTAGTGAGCATCTATATAAGAGATTGTGCAGCTTTGACAGAATCAAAATATCACCACAGGAAGAGCATTAGGTTTCACATTTTCACGAGCTGCTCCAGTAACAATAACAATGTGTTTAATTAGAAACGCGAAATCGAGTACTTGACCGATTACTTTTTAACGAATCAAAACAGTATTCTTTTGGAAACCAATTCAGCAAGTAAATACATATTAAAATGTAAACGACTCGTGCTAGGACGACGACAAAAGATACCTGGTATTGTATGCTGAGAACACTAGTTTCTTGCCTTTTAATTATAGTGCGTCTCTACTGGTTTGCGTTAATCTTCGGCATAACAAAGAGTTATTCGACTATGTTGATCACTGCACTTAACATCAACTAAAGAGGAACTACGAGTCCTCATTGGGTGACAAATTTTTGCACGGATACGAAAAGCTCAGTTGGCTTAAAAGATCGACCGGAATGAGATGCCAAATGCAATAACCAGAAATAACATTGATAAGACAAATTGCAATGGGACCATTAGATGAATGTGTAGTTAACGTTGGAAAACATATAGCACGGTAAACACGAGCAAACCACCCACCTTTTAGCCTTGGATTAATAGTATCACCTTTACAAATGGTCTTTAGTACAGTAAATCCGCACTGTATATATAGAAGTTGGGTTTTGAAGCAAGTTTTGTAGAAAACTTAAAATGCCAGTGTTTTTGGAAGTTACCCATCCAGTCACTAAACCTTCCTACTTAAACGTTAGCAGATGAGTACTTCTTCAAAGCAAACCACCACCGTGACTGAGGCAGTCATTATTCGAAAATGTGTATGTCACGAATTTATTGTACTTTCTCGTTTTGCTACAGCTAGAGCGTAATGCTTGATAGAAGACAACCAGTCGCACAATACGTTGCGTTCCTCAGAGTCGTGATTTAAGAAAAAGTGACAACTTTTTACGAGCATCTTCTGCAAGGCAGATAAGCATCCAAGAGAATCAAGGTAAGCATATGATGACTGATGAATCATGCATTAGTAATTTCATCTAGACGTGCATTTCGGAGTTATGACCCTGACTGGCAAGTAAGGTTTTCTGATTTCTAAAGATCGATTGCAGTATTTTCACAACTACACATAAGAGACCAAATACAAATTTATCACAGGAGTGAACACAATGTGTAAAAACTTGTCTTTTCCCATGAATTATTTAAAATGCATACTTTGTTAATTGACGTAGTAGGACGGTGTCTACACATCCCATTAAAATTTGATCTTATGTAACAGACAATGTTCTATTGATTCTTCACATATCTATTTTTAACACGAACGAAGTGGAGAACTGAGGTAGCTCCTAACATGTTAGAAATACTGGCGACCAGCTGTTACTGCTTATAAAACTTCTAATAAGAAGTCACTTCGGATTAATAGGACAGACTTACTCGAGTAACTGGTAATTAAAAACCCATGACAATTTTCGTATTGAAGATATACTTTCATCAACGCTGTTATTTGATCTACTGCCGTGTTACTCTTTCAGATCACAAGAGCTTATGAGAGGGGTACGTGAGATGATTAAAAATAAAATTTTCAGCTAACAAAACAAGTACTTGCGAGCAGGTGTGTATTTGGTCGGCAGGAGCTAAAACTCACTATTTACTACCCATTGACTGAAATGTTAGAAATGGTCATATTGAATTTAGTAACAGATCAGAACCACATCAGCTATCATGTGTGATAAATGGATAATAGTTCCAACAGAACAACTCTGTATTTTTCTCTGGATTATACAATGCTACTAATCGTCATAGTCAATTAGAGCCAACTCAGGTTCGTCATATCCAAGTTGTCCTAAAGTTGGCAAACCGAGTTGTTTCATTGTGGGTTCAATCTCTTTTTGAAGCCACTCCCAAGCACCTTTGGCAACGTGGCACTTAAACTAAGGAACAATCGAATTGCGATAGAACAACCTACCTTCACAGATTCAATAAACCTTATAGCCAGAGCGATGTCGTTGATGCGTCTACAAGCCTTAAGGCCACTAATCACCACTTCTGGGGGCGGAACGGCGTCTTCTAGATGAAGTTTCTGCATCCATGATCTAGCCCCCCAACCGTCAATTTTTGGATCATCAAATGCATTCACGAAACGGGATCTGAATACTTCGTAAGGCTCGGTTGCATTTACATATTCTGGATTAGTAGAATGGTTTGCACATGGCTTAAAATAAATATATGGGACAGTTTTATGGCAACCTTTAAAAAAACATAATTCGCTAAACAGTTATACTTTTTATAAAGTTGACAGCCGTCGAACGAATCATCGCCACAACCACACAAACGAAAGAAGTGCCTTAAATAGTATTCTATGTTCAGTATCTGCATGTATAAGAATCGAACGTTGAAGGGCAAACAACTTCAGTCTTTAGTCTTCAGTCTTCAGTAATAAGGATAGGAGGTCTATCGATCCATAATAATCCTTGCAGTTTGTAATACCGTGGAGGTCCAATATCGTTTTTGAATAACTTAACAGACAGTGCTGATATTACGTGTCCCCGTAGAGAATCAAAGTAATTCACTACTCGGTGCGAGAAACGAAACTCCAGACGTAAACGATTTGATCTCGGTTTTTGAACTTTCTTCGAATGTCCTCTCAAACGATTAGTCCTAGAAGGAAGTAAAAAATAAGGCATGTTAATACCAAAGTCATCGTTCAGTATATGATAAGCCAATATTAGATCACCCTGTATTCTACGGTAAGATAATGGAAATAAGTTAAGGTGTCTCAGTCTGTCTTCATAATATAGGCCCGATAGACCTTGTACCATCTTAGTACCTCGTCTTTGGACTCTTTCCAGCATATCTGCTTCGTAATTGAAACAAGGACACGCTGCTTGAATCCCGTATTCTAAATGTGGTCGCACATAAATCGGGTATAGTAATCTAAACATTTCATCGTCTAAATACTGGAAAGACCTACGAATTGACCATAATACCCCATAGCCTTTTGAAGCAGCAGCCTTACAGTGACTAGTGGCTTTGAGATCATTGCTTGATATGACTCCTAAATCTTTATAGTTTCTTGCTTTGGGCAGCACGAATCCACGTAGTGTATAGTGATACGATTCATCAGAGTTATTTAACTGCATCACTACACTCTTATTAGGATTTATTTCTAGTGACCACCTGTCTAACCATGCCACCAATGAGCTAAGATCGTCCTGCAATGCTATTCCATCCGACATACTATGTATGGGTCTCCAAATCTTTATATCATCAGCGAAGAGTAGAACGGATGATTTTGCTACAGTTGGCAATTCATTTACATAAAGTGAAAAGAGAAGAAGACCTGGGATTGTACCTTGGGGAACCCCACTTTTTACAGGTACCCACGAGGAGAGAGCCCCATTAACCCTTACCCTTTGTTTCCTGTCATGGAGAAAGTTAATTATCCAATCCACGACTGTATAATGGACTCCAAAACGTTCTAGTTTGAATTTAAGATCAGAGTGGGAAGCCTTATCAAAGGCTTTACTTAGATCTATGAAAATCACATCCACAGGAGCATTCCGATCCTTTGCCGCAGCCCAATTTTCTGGTGCAATGAGAAGATTTGTCAAGCAAGATAGGCCTTTTCGAAAACCATGTTGTGCCCTGGAGAAAAGATTTTGCCCTTCAACATAATTCATAACAGATATCCAAATGATTTTCTCCATCAGTTTTACAACTGCACTAGTTAAGCTAACGGGTCTATAGTTACTAACTAAATTCCTACTCCCAGCCTTACACACCGGACTTATTATCGCGTATTTTCAGTCTCTGTGAGGTCTGGACTGCTTTAGAGACACGTCAAACAGTATTGTTAATGGTTGAGCAATTACATCTGACAGGGCTTTCATAATCCTAGGATGAATATCATCAGGATCACTGGACTTATCAGGTTTGAGATGCTGAAGTAGCCTTAAAACAGTACCTTTCTCAATGACTACAAGGTCCATCAGCGAGTCGTCACGGTCGCCATGAATCGTTGGTCGTTCCTCATTACCGATAGAAAACACTTTACTGAAATATCCCGATAAAGCTTCAGCTTTTTCGGCATCATTCTTTGCTAAGATTAACGGATTATCTCGTATCAAAAGTGATGGTATTCCATCGCTTCTCTGAGTTCGCCTTTTATATACGAGAATAACCGTTCCAGACTATATTTGGAATCCCTAACCAATTGTTTTTCATATGATCGTCTAGTCTTACTTAATAACGCTTTATAGGCATTCCTAATCATACAATAACTGGATCTGTATTGTTCTAAGCCAGCAGAGATGAACATATTCCAGTGCTTCTTGCTTTTTCTAAGACGTTTCCTGACTGTTTTGGTTATCCATGGTGGACTATTATTCGGTTTTCGCAGTACCAGGTATGGTATGAACGGGGACATAACTAGACAATGCTTACCTTTAAATACAGACCATACTTCTTCAACTGATAACTCCTCTAGAGTTGTCTGGTAAGATACTACGAATATATTCTCCCAGCTTCTCTAAATCTTGCGCGTGCCTAATTTTGGGATCAGGGTCGTTTGACTTCAGCACTTTGTTCACAATAATATTCGACGACATCTAATTCTTCTTCTTAGCCACGCTATGGTGGGTTTCCCTCTTACTATCAGATTTTGGTAGTGCATTTTGTGACTCACAGTGGGAGTCCACCAATGACTCGCTAACCACTTGAATACTGCCCACAGATGTTTTCTTTTCGTTTCAATTTCGCCGTACTGTGGTCCATTTTTCATCCTTCAGGGCACTGGGACTATTTGGAGCTGTGAGGGTTTTATCTAGATCTTCAGTTTCCGCTAGAGGTGCATGGTTGCCACTACCAGTGTCAGGTGGTACTACTCCCCCCACTCGTTAATGTTAACTGAGATTTCACTTTTCCGTCAGTCAAAGTCGGGTGTTTGAGTTTTCTCGTAACAGCAGGTACCACAACGATACATTCGTCACTGTCAGTGCTCGTGTTATCAGCGCATGCGCCATAGTTCTTTTTACAGGCCAAAGCCAATAGGCTCATAGTCTCCTTGATTAGTAACGTCTTATTTGCACAGCAAAACATTCAAAGCCAATGTGAGTTAGGCTTCGAACATCTTTTGTATGCAGTGGGAGTTAAACGGGTGCACATCTTATGGAACCACTTTTTGCATTCATCACACTGCTTTCCTTCCTCCACAGGGAACATACAGTTTGGTCGTCCACATTTGTGAGTACTACCAACCATTTTAGTCAGATTATGGTGTAAAACAAATTATGCTCACAGTATGAACACAAGTGTCAGTCAATGAGTAAAAGGGCACCGCAAGAAAAACCCTAGCAAGATTTCAAACCTTAACTAAAGTACTTTGATATAAACCAAGAATGCTTTTGATGCAACAGTTACACAAAAGCAAGGATAATCACAACAACTGCAAAATCAGTGCCCTTTTTGAAACACGTGCCTACGTATTGTGAGAGCATCTTTGTTAACGGCATGTTGCGATTCTTTTTTGAACCTAAAAACAAAAAAAAACCATTTAGTAGTGACAGTACTAATTGAATGGGGACATTCAGTTTCAGTTTGGATAGAGCAGGAGGCAAGATGACCTGTGCTATTCTTGGCAATGATGGTCTCTCACTTGATCCAATTTTCATTTGAAAAAAGTCGACAGATAATGAATTCCACTCGCTGATGATTCGATGGGAACGTCGTTTGTCAGCTGATAAGTAAGTTGTTCTGGTCTTGTGAACTATTCTTGGAGTTTCCTCGTGAATGCTCTGTTTTGAAAGATAAGAAAAATGAAGGCATATCAGGTGTAAATTTGTCACTACATAATTGGAAAACAGTGATAAAATCTTCTCTAGTTCTTCGATATGACGACTGTAATAGGTTTAGTTTAGTCAGTAGAACATGATGTAGCTGCAGTTGGAGCACTACTACAACCAATATCACAAAGGTATGAGTAGTTACAAAAAATTGCCAATGCAAGATACTCAATGTTCCTTGACCGGACATCTTCAGCAATAGCTCACTGTGGGAGCAAACAAACCAGCTTCCAGTTGAAGTGGAAAAGACCCTTGAAGTGAGTAGGACATACATTGAGAAAATCACTAAACTGCATCACCTGTCGTGTGCTAACTTAGAATCCTGAAGGGAAACGGAGAAGTGGGAGGTCGAAGAACACACTGGGTCGAAAATTAGAAGCAGACATGAAAAGGATGAATAGCGACTGGAAACAACTGGGTAGCAGGCGTAAGTGAGTAGGTACGATTGACCCAATGGAGTGGAAAGAACTAAGAACACCACGGTATGTAGTTTTCACGTTTTCCTGAAAGCTTATTACCACAGAGTGAGTTCAGTAAGTATTTAGAATTGTAGAGATCAGAGTAAAGCTAATTAAAACGTGTCACATGTCGTTGCGCTTTTGAAATCTTCACTAGCCAGCTCCGTGGAGGATTTCGATTGCCCAACATCAACATTTGTAACATATACGCTTGTCGCTCACCTCTTGTCATACTGAGTGTGAATTGGTCTTAGTAGTTCTCTTGTCTGCAGGAATGTCAGTTTTAATTAATTTTCTTCATCTAAGCTAACTAAGCATCATAACGATGTAAACACACAGTTATTGAAGTTTGCTCCAGCTTATTGTTTGACTTTTCATGGATTTATTACGCTTAGGCACTTAAATACGCTTATCTTAAATTTATCATTAACAAGTATATGGATATCTGTTACTTGTTTAATGAAAGCTGTCAATGTAAAGTTGTTCTAGAGTATTTTGTCTGGTTTGCTGGATAAATTTACATTTTTTTACGTCAGAACATGTTTTGAAATAAATTATTTGTATCATAGTGCTTCAATTTCTCTACTCGTCACTAACCACAAAAGTCGTTTTAAATATAGACTTGATGTTTTATTCGTCTTTTGATTAAAACTCCCGTGGATTATGTGCTTTTATTTTAAAAAAAATAAAATTTTATGTGCACATATCTCTTGTTTTAACTTGTATACTTTTTTGAATATCAAAATCATAGTTTACCGTAGGTATCATTACAAAGGTTTGATCTGGTAATTTCGAATAAATTGAGCATTGGGTAGACTGCTATAAATAAATAATATATTTGTAATATTCCAACGTGTTGCTCCGTCGTACTAATTAAACTTGGATTAATTTTACTTCGGTTGTGTTGTGTGGCGCCGAGTCGAAGTTGACTATGAACACCACTACAAAGGAACGCGTATCAGGACATTCATAAAATCCCCCGGAAGCCAAATATCAGAAGGCAGTTAATGGACCAAG